TATTGAAATACATATAATTAAATTAAAACGAAATATTTCAACGTTTCGAACTTTAAAAGTTCATTTTCAATCAGTTTCAATTATGGAATAAAATATTCATTACCGAACAATCTCACAAATAAAAATCCTTCCATATTAGTTCCATGATAAGGTGTTGCTTAACACTTTTTTTTTGTTTCTTTACACACATTGCTCAATTTTCTTTCGTTCTTTTATTTTCTCGTTTTGGTGAGACAACTCACGTAGAAAATCGGGCAATCGACATGGCATACATCGAACGGAAAAGTATGCGACATACCAATACAACGAAAATTATTCTTATCATTTCCATCACTATCAACGCACCAGAACACAAAAACACCCGCCTCAACTATCTAATAAATAGTTGATCCTTCCCTACACATCATAAGTATAAACTTTTTCTACAATAGCACAATCATTATCAAACTTCATAAGAATTAAAAGTTTTAGCCCTAAAAAGAGCTGTTGGGTTTTGTCTTTGTTTTATATCCTTGTTGGTTTATGCCTTTTCTGCTGCACTACCTTTGGCTGGTGTACCACTTGACTTTCCTTCCGATTTATCACCTTTTGACGATTTTTTGGGATGTGCACTTGATGACGTTGTTGTATCACGTGGAGTACCCGTTGTTTCAGCACCAGTCTTTTTTGGTAAAAGAATAGCTTGAATATTCGGTAAAACTCCACCTTGTGCAATTGTAACACCCGATAATAATTTGTTTAACTCTTCATCGTTTCGAATGGCCAATTGCAAATGACGAGGAATGATACGTGTTTTTTTATTATCACGAGCCTACATGTAAAACATATTTATGTCAAATTTTAGTCCAAAATTTTATATCATCAAAACTTACAGCATTGCCTGCTAATTCAAGAATTTCAGCAGATAAATATTCCAATACGGCTGATAAATACACCGGTGCACCAGCTCCGACTCTCTCGGCATAATTTCCACGACGAAGCAGACGATGAATTCTACCAACTGGAAATTGTAAACCAGCACGAGATGAACGTGTTTTCGCCTTGGCACGAGCCTTACCACTACCGGCAGTTTTTCCACGTCCTGACATGATTAATATTTAGAGTTTATTTAGAGTTTAAATAAATGTATGATGAAGAATAATAGAGATGCCGTCTGACTTGATACAAACGTCTTTATATAGTCAGAAAAGAGCGTTAGATGAACCAATGAAAACTGATGCATTGTTTAAATATCAAGAACAGAAACATATTTCCATTAGTCATTTTCGTCAAGCGAATCACTGCATTTTCTTCTTTCTGGACAAGAATGGATATACACACAGACAAAAGAAATTGTTTTCATTCGTTCTGCTCTATTTACGTTTAGACTATATAACTGTGTTGAAAAAAATACACATTTTCTTATTGTCTTACTTCAATTCTGTCTCACACATACTTTCTTCTATTACTTACTTTACATAACTATCATGCCGCCAAAAACTCCATCAAAAGGTGCAAAGAAAGCCGTCTCAAAAAGCAGTAAAGGTGCATCAACAAAAGGTGAAAAAAAAGTTAAACGTCGACGAAAGGAAACTTATTCAATATATATTTATAAAGTATTAAAACAAGTCCATCCCGATACAGGTTAGTACTTCATAAGAATATTCTAAATATATCAAGCTTACGTAATTAGTACTTTCTTTCTCTCTACAGGTATCAGTTCAAAAGCAATGTCCATCATGAATTCATTTGTCAATGATATATTTGAACGTATTGCTGCTGAATCCAGTCGTTTGTCACATTATAATAAACGCTCAACAATATCGTCACGTGAAATTCAAACAGCTGTTCGACTATTGTTACCAGGTGAATTGGCTAAACATGCCGTTTCCGAAGGTACAAAAGCCGTTACTAAATATACAAGTGCCAAATAAACTACATTCTAACCATACACAAGTCGTCAATAAACAAGTTAATATAACAGAACCCAACAGCTCTTTTAAGGGCTAAAAATTTCAATTTTCATGTGCTTTCACATAATTTGTGCTATTCTGTATATCGATTTGAACTAGTTTGAACGATGAATCCACTTATATTTCTGAAGTTTGGAAAAATATAAGGTTGCAGCTATACAAAGATCAGAGCAGCGCTCTGTTTGATTGCTATCAGGACAGAGAAATGAGTATAGAATTTAATACGATGTATAAAATTTCAGTCCACGTAGAAGCTGAAACCATCAGCTCGCCTAGCATTTAACGCTACTGTATCACATTAGACAGCGTATCAACTAGTAAAGCACAGAAAATAGGGCTTATTTCTCAAAAATGTAAATATGAACTCTGAAAAATCTCAGATAAATATCTATACACTGCGGCTATTTTGATTTTTCCGCTAGAGTATCTGACTTCCAGTGTATACATGCTGTATGGTGTTATCCACTTACCATGTGCTTCATTTTAAGACACGTCTTATAAAACTAATTTATTTTACACGGCTATTAACAACTTCAACTACGCATTAATGAGTTCACTTTTTTTCCTTTTCCGAACAATTGCGAGAGTAATTTTAAAATATAAATATTTTTCATCACCGCTTCATCAAAAAAAACTGCGCAATTTTATATATGCTTCACTGTTGTCGACTGTTCACCTGCACATTCACTAAGTTTAAAATAAATTTAGAAATGAATAAATTTAGAGTGAAGCGCTTTTCTGACAAAAATAACAGTTTAGTTTATCGTATTCTAATGCACACTTGTGTGGGCTTGTGTTAGCATTACTATGTGCAAAAAAACTGCCTTTCAACATCTCCGCTTTACGACAATAAACTGAAACGAAATCAATGACCCCATGCTCATGGCGGAAATTCAACGCTGTTCATACTGTTGCCTAGAACTCTGCACTGTAGGAAGTGGAATTCTACTGTTAGCAATAACAACAACTCACATGCACACATAAGATTTCACATATGGTAGCCCTGAAAAGAGCTGTTTGGTTTTTTATTTCGAATTTTGTTTCGTGGTGCTCTTTAACCGCCAAAACCATACAATGTTCTTCCTTGTCGTTTTAGAGCGTAAACAACATCCATGGCTGTAACCGTTTTTCGTTTGGCATGTTCTGTATATGTGACAGCATCTCGAATGACATTCTCCAAAAATATTTTCAATACACCACGTACTTCTTCATATATCAAACCGGATATACGTTTAACACCACCACGACGAGCCAAACGACGAATTGCTGGTTTTGTTATGCCTTGGATATTATCACGTAATACTTTACGATGACGTTTCGCACCGCCTTTACCCAATCCTTTACCACCTTTTCCTCGACCGGACATGTTTTATTAAGATTATTGTTTAAGAACAGAAATTTTTTAATACGATTTGAATGATTGAAAAGTTGAGAGCATGCATCCTTTATATTTCTTTTCGTTCAAAGAGGAATCGATCGATCATTGGAGGAATGCGAATACACTAACAAACAAATCAGATGAGACTATAATGAAACAATGACAGTATGTTGGCGGTTGTTTTTTCCCACTCATTGGTGTTTCTAAACAATGATGAGTATGAAAGGAACATATTAATAATTTAAAAAAAATGTTTAGTCCTAAGTGACAGCCATCTCAATTGGTTTTGTTGTAAATCAACATCATCACATGGCATTGCCAAACTGAAAATTCTTTAGATTACAACCGGTTCCTCTACTATGTTACCATGTCCAGAAAGCTTTTCTTTAGCGCTTCATTGAGGAAATTTTCGGAGCTGACGCACTGGCCGCACGAAACAAAGTCACTTTTTATTCTGTTTAAAGGATTATTAGACTTGTTCTGTAAAGCACGAATAATATAGTGAGTTACTGTAAAAAAGTGGGCCTTCCTTAAATGATTGATACGTCATGGGAATAAAGTTGGTCATGGTTGAATGAGTGAACACGAGTATCAACTCCAGTTTCAACAACTGAAGAAAGCAGAAATGAATTTTATTTTACTGCGTTTTAAGTTGGACGTATCTTTAACTGTCACATTTCAGTTATTGACCACAGGTCGACATTCTTGCGGGTATTCTTGTCTCTTGCAATTCTGGACAAGAATCCTCAATTTTGTCTTGTTAGATGAGACAAGATTCTTTTAATTTTTCGTTGATTATTCATCTTTTTTCGTGAAAGATTCTTGTCTGAAGTGGCAAGACGTCGTTGCTGACAAATCCCCAGTTTGTTTTGTCGATTCCCGTACTATACTTGAATTAGATAATATAGGTCATTACTATACATAGATGTGTATAAGTAGTGTAAATCTCATTAGATTGTTGTAGAAAAGACAAGCGAGTCTTTACATGTGCCTATAATGGCATCAGAGCGTCCAGCTCCTGCAGATATGAAAAGAAAAGAAGACGAAAAATATATTCATTATTTTTATTTCCAAGATTCTTTTAAGAATTAGAAGAGAAAATTTTTGCAGGAAAACTTGAAGCAAGAACCTTGCAAGAAATCGCTTTGTTGTGAATTAAGACAAGAATTCATCTCGCGATTCTCAATAAAGCTATTTCCTGCCGGTTATTGTGAACAAAATCCATGTAAAATATTTTACAAGCTTCTTGTCTGAAATGCCAAGAAACAAGAACCTTGCAAGAATGCACACCAGGACGTTAACCAGTGACGTCAATTCTGCACAAAAGTCCCAAAATATCACGAAACGATTGAAATAAGATACGGAACGAAGCATGGCCCTTTGTACACTCTATGTTCAAAAAATTCAACTGTTGAGAAAATGTTTTTTTCTTCATTGTATACACATATCAATCTATTGTATTTTGATTGGTCTTTTAAAAAAAGTCTGTTGGACCAATTCATTTACTCTTCTACAGCAAACAGTCTGAGTATATAAGTTTGATACACTAAAATAATTTATTCATTCTTCGTTTCTTTACATACCTACATATACGTATCACTCGATCTATTTACTATTTACTACAATGGCTCGTACTAAACAAACTGCTCGTAAATCCACTGGTGGAAAAGCACCACGTAAACAGGTATAGCAACTTGGTCACGATTTCTTTCATCTTATCTCTAATTCATCTCTAGAAACTTAGGATTTTAAAAGTTTCTGTTCTAACCTTTGTGTTGACTGTAGTGTATGCTAATAGTATGAAATTTTTTTAGTTGGCAACAAAAGCTGCAAGAAAATCGGCACCAGCAACTGGTGGAATTAAGAAACCGCATCGCTTTCGTCCTGGTACAGTTGCTCTTCGAGAAATTCGACGTTATCAAAAATCAACAGAATTATTAATTAGAAAATTACCTTTTCAACGTTTGGTTCGTGAAATAGCGCAAGATTTCAAGACTGATTTGCGTTTTCAATCTTCTGCCATAATGGCACTACAGGAAGCTTGTGAATCCTATTTGGTTGGTCTTTTTGAAGATACGAATTTGTGTGCTATTCATGCAAAACGTGTTACAATCATGCCGAAAGATATTCAATTAGCGCGAAGAATTCGCGGTGAACGAGCTTAAAAAAGCTTATCAAGTTGAAAGTGATGGTAAAATAATGCAAAACCCAACAGCTCTTTTTAGGGCTACTTATCTTTGAAATTCTATGTGCTTACAAAATGATAAAGCTATTTTTCGAAAGATCGATAAATAAGTCAATAAGAATACATTAGAATTTTCGTATGTTGCTTAGAATGATCGGTAATCGATGATTTATCGGGGAATATTAAGAGGATATTGAACGATCCAGTGCTTTTCTCAACACTGATACTTCATGAGAATATTTTCATTCTGACTGAGTGAGTGTTCATAAGAGGAACGCACAAGGGAGCCGTTGTCAAAATTAGTCTTTGTTGGATGACAAAGAGCCATGAGAAATACTGCCTTATCTTATTGACAATTCGCTCCTCAGTAAGACGTTTTTTATTCGTTTCTTATCAAATCCTTAAATTGCATCAGTTTCATGGCAATGTTTCTTCGCAAATCTAGGAGAAAATTTAATGTAGTAGTAGCTGATACTAACCGATATGTAATTCATTGATCGATAGCGGCAGTAAATAATGCGTTTGAACAATTTCAATCTTTTCGATCGAGAGTTCGAAACAATTCTTAGTAGCATGGTCGAGTAGAAATAAACAATGACGTGAACTTGTAGACGTTCGAAAATCAGAGAAAAAAAATATTAGAGCTGGGAGAAATAGTGATTTTCTTTTCTTTTCTTATTCACGTTGTGTATAGTGTGTGGTCATGTCAAAATGTGCATTTATCAACTATGTTTAATACTTATGTAGACCAGCTATACATGTTTGAATTTATTTCGACGTTTACATCATAATATATTTCTTTATTTCATATAGTTCATATATACGTCGATTGCATGAAACGATAGGAGACTTCTTGCTTTTCACCTTTAAGCCGACGGAGTAAAACTCGAAGCGGCTTATTCTGTTTCATTATAGAAAATTCTTCTTGCTGACCCTACTTTCTATTTCGAGTCAGCTACTCGTTATCAGCTATCACTAAGGGTACAGATTTGAGAAAAGATCATTCGAGAGTGTGAGAGAGGTAGATGAAACATCTGAAGTTATTTTTTCGATATATATTTTAGTAATTAGTCTCGAAAGTTGAGCATATATTCAATAACTTTTCTATGAGATAATTAATTGTCACGTGACACTTCATATACATTCAGTATGAACAATGCAGAGTGATTCATTAAGTAGTCACATGTTAGTTATCATTCTATACTTCTGTATAGTTTGGTGCATTTATAGTCTGAAACATTTTTACCGATAGAATGTATCATATGTTTACTACTAGAGCATTGTATGTTCTACCCGTATTTCCTTTTCCTTTTCCAGTTTGTCTACGAACTAATTTAACTGTTTTTTTTTTTAACGTAGTTTTGGCGCGTATCGCACATTTTCCTAGCTTAAATTAATCTGAGCACTGAAAATTTGCAAACTGAATAATTTATATTCATCTTACTTCGAAAACGAATATTTTTTGACTTACAAACATTCTACGCAGTCATGTTATGCTTCTTACATGATTTCATCTAATCGAAAACTCTAAAAGTCACCTAGAAAATGTTGTGAAAGCATATATCAACCATGAAATGACTTTTGTTAACACTTGAAAACGTGCAATATAACATCGTATCATTGGCTCGGTCGTTTCAAGATTAGGCTTTGTTTTAGCATTGATTCGATTCTTTAAATCTCATGTCTAATTAGGATACTGAACAAGTGATGCCCGTCAATTTTTGCTATTAAAATGAAAGACAGCGACTGACATGTGATTCCTATAGACTTTTTTTCTTTCTCTTCTAAAAAAAGATGTAATATTTTTTTTTTTTGTTGTTTACATCATTCTTGAAAGTGAATGTTGTTAGAACATTATTCTATATCACAATAATATGCAGAAATTAAACTATGGAAGATCAGTTTGTATGATTCAACGTGAGTTACAGCAAGATGAATATAAATTATTCAATTTGTAAATTTTCAATGCTCAGATTAATTTAAGCAAGGGAAATGTGCGATAAGCGCGAAAACTACGTTAAAAAACAGTTAAATTAGCTATTAAACAGTTAAAAAGTTAAGATCTATCTCACAGATATGTTGTGGCCCTGACAATTCTCAGTATATTTTGTCGTAGACATTTGCTTTAATTCTGTAATCAGGATAGCAGAAAAGTACCGGATACTAAAAGTCTGTCAATTCTCAGCATGTTTACACGAGAGCTTTCACATTAGGAACAAACATTCTCTTGTCGATCATTTTCTTTAATTAATATCTTATTAACGTAATAAATGTTAGGTCTGATCTGCTATTGGTAGATAAAGCGTAATGTGTAGAATATTTTTGGTAGCAAAAAGTTTTCTTAAAAATGTATATTGTCTTTATTACACATATTCATATTACTTTAAGATAATTACATAACGACGGTCTTTTTATTTATTAATCTCTTTGTTTCCTTATTCGTTCTATTTAAATATAAACGATTAATATAGCTGAGCTAATTATAAGGTGGCAAAATTTTTGGCTAAATTGCTTAAGAATATTGGGAATAATGAGTTTGCCGTTACTGATGCTATTGAATTTGTTAAAACGATAAAATCTGAAAATCCTAAACTGGGTACTAAAATGGTTTCATTTGATATCGAGCGATTATTTACTTTGATACCACTTAATGAAACTATTGATATAGCTGTGGATAGGATAGTGCATGCTGTAGGTTAACATCTATTTCTGCTTGTTGTTCAAATGAAGATGCTCCTGTCTGCCACTTCTAAATCACATTTTAGTTTCAATGGAGTTCTATTGGTGATATAGCAATGGGCTCTCCTCGTTCTACTATTCTGGCTAACGTATTTATGGTCGATTTTGAACAAAAATATATACTCCAGTGATTGGTATACAGTTTTATAGCTGGCGTAGATATGTGGACGATATATCGGTACGAGTAGGCGAAAGGAAACGAATCAGCCAATTATTGAGTCTTTTTTAATAGTAAGCATAAAGGGATTAAATTTACTGTTGAAGAAGAGGATAATGGAAGTATACCGTTTATCGGAGTTATGATTAAAATAGTTAATCAGAAGTTCACTACAGCTGTTCATAAACAAACTGACACAGGGATTAAACTGGAAAAGTGTTGCGTCTAATAAATATAAAATTTGATTTAATCACATGTTGGTTAATAGGATCTGAAATTTATGTGCATCCCTATGAATTATTATATAAGGAGTTACATTATATAAGGGAGATATTGAACGGTAATGGATATCCTAAACATATTGTTGATCGTGAAATAGGGAAACGTATAAGTAGATTAATTATGCAGCAGAAAGAACAATGAGTTAATGAAGTTGCCTTTGTTGAGAAGGAAAAAGGTATTTATCAAGGAGAATTCTCCCGGTTTTTTTCATCAGTTTGTAGTAGGGCTGTGATAGTTACCAGTTACCGTTACAACCGTTACCCGGTAACGGTAACTGCTGAACAGTTCCCGTTCCTGGTAACGGTAACGGATAAGCAGTTACCGTACAAGTAACGGTAACCGACCAACAATTACAGTTACTGTAACGATAATGG